ATCAAGCAAGCATACATAGCTTGGTCTACCTTAAAGCCTTGAATTATAGTTAGGGATGATGACATGTGATTACAATAATCAAAGATTGAAACCTGTTATGATTCTGTTCATAATTACATACAATAAATGAACTTGTTTGTATATATGTTGTACTCCGGAATACCAAAGGCAACTATCAGGAGTCAGTATCTTGGACTTACATCTCTAGAAACGCGACGCAGGGTTTTCGATCTTTGAACGGTACACAAACTTGTACACGGCCAGTGTGGTCACGGTTCCAATGTCTTCAAGCTAACACATTCTAGGACTAGGGGTGACTTCATGAAGATTTCTTTGGCACGTCCTAAAATGAACTTGCGAGCGACTAGCTTAACCTTCAGGGCTGCCAGTGATTATCTAAAAGTGGTGAAAAATATATCTGTCTCCTCATCGCTAGCGCAGTTTAAACGCCGAGTAGTTAAGTTGCCGATGAAGGGAACTGGTCCTAACGTTTCCTGAGACCGATTATTTAACTAATTTATCTTTGTATTGCGTATTGGTTGATTGTACAAATGTTCGTTATTTACGTTGCGTTCTGATTTTTCTCACGTTTGCCTTCCGCAGGCGTAATAAACTTATAACTTATAACTGCTGATCGAGAACCCAAGATTATATGGGGTAGGACGAGTTTTGTCACAGCTGATATCAGAACAAAGAAAAAATATCAAACTCCTATTGAGTGGCCTAAGACGACAACCAATCACACCGTGATTTGTACAGAGTGATGGTAGGGATTATAACGGATCACATGAATATTAAACAGAATTTATTGTGTTCGTCTTTGGTACGTTCTTCTCGATGCTCTTGGCTCTTCACTATTATTGTTGAACTTCGAGCTTATAAACTCTTTTTCAGACCCCAATTTTACAATATAGTGCTGCTTTTAATCAATTAGTTAATTATCAATTACAATATGGAATACACAAAATTATACCACACCAACCGAAAATATTGGGGAAGTAGTGGAGGGGTCCTTTCGGCGGGCAGCTTGAAAGGAAATGGACATCGCTTCCATCCTGAGGCGACTAACCAGAAGTTTTAGCACTCAAACAGGTTCTCGAGTTCACAGATTTCCTCTTTCGCAAATTTCTGGCTTGATGCGGTATATTCACGATTCCATGATTCCATGATTTTCCCTTTCAGGGGTCGTACCTAATATCGATGCAAAACCCTCACAACGAAGGATGGAGCGACTTCTATCTCATGCTTGAGTGTACGGTGCCAAGAAAAACTGTAATGTGGGTAAGCAGTGGGATTAGCCAACGCTCTCCTATGTTCGTCTAGGTGGGTCTTCAGGGGTCTCGCAGTCTCCCCAACATACTTGTCTCCACATCCTTCATGTAGAATCATATAGATGGTGCCCTGAAGTTCACAGATCTTCTCAAGTATACAGTATAAAACTGTTCGCAGCACCGTTTTTCGTAGATTCAGGATGATGTTGAGAGATCGTTATGTGTAGTAGGATATGGGGAGACGACTCGAATGAGAAGCTGAAGTTCTTCACGACACGGTTAACCTCATGTGCCATTTGTTCGTTAGCAAAAGGCACAATGAGGCTCATACCGCTAGCCGTTCTGTGCGGGACTTCGGTCCTCGTATCGCTTTCAAAGTATCCTTTCGAGGATGGTTCTAATTCAAGCATCAACGGCTTAATCATTTCGTGTTACAAGCATTTTCTTCGTTTTCGGAAGATTACGCACGACGTTTGCCCCCAAATAAATAGGATGCGCGCTTCTACAATGCAACGAGTGTTCGACGAAGCACTTTTTCTATACCAAAGATATTCCTTATGACCTTAACTAATTCGTATCTTCGCATTGAGGATTGGACTCCTCATCTCGGTTTTCGCAATAGACCACTATATATGGTCCTCTACTTCTGCATAGTTGTACCTAAGGATGCATCGTTTACCCGTATAGAAGCAGATAAGGGAAGAAGGGCTTGGGAGTTAGCCAGTTCGTTATGCACTGGGACGACCGAGGTGTCTTCAAGTCAGCTGGAGCTATGTCCTCATAACCCTCATAAAGGAAGCAGAGTATAATAGACAAGAAGAGCAGGCTTCGCTCGGCTAATGGCATACGAGTAACACACGAGTAGCCCAGCTCGGTGGTACTCTATGGGCGATTGCGTGAAGCATCTGAGAGGTGGCACAAATGATGTCTTCTAAGTTTGGTAGTTCAATTTCCTGCACCAGTTGTTCTGGTGACTTTGGCTTTTTTCGTTTTCATTTTATCTTTTAATTTTTTGCATAAGTATTTTTTTATTCAGGACAAATTCTTGAGGTGAATTCTAGTGAATGATCCGAGATCTCGCGATTTTCGTGCTCGGATCATCAGCGAATGGAAAAAATCCTGGGAATAAATTATCATAGACGCACGCTTGATCAGACTTGCTTCTTACAATGATAACATCGTAGAATGAATCACCAAGGTCTTCTACTGCTTTAATATCCGCAGTAGTCTTCAATGCACTGACTGCCTGCATCCATTGTGCTTTGCACCTTGGCCACACGCTTAGAGTTTTCTGGACTGTACCATTGAGTGTCATCTTCGTTGCTGTTGAACTAAAAATGGCAATCACTAATTACAATTAAATAATTTGAAAAGAAGGTGACAAACACAATACAGGATTACATAGTAACCATGACGCTAAATGCACGATTACACTTAATCTTGCGCACGACTTACTGGGAAAAATATAGCATCATTGTTGACTATGGCCAGTGAAATTGGCCATCGCCCAATGGTGGCCATAGTACATATATGCCTGGATATAAACTACTACCGAAGATTACGCTTCACTGAGAGGCTCCTTCTGAGATCAGGTAGGCAGGACTTTTTCAAGTTGGTCTTCGTTGAACATGAGTCCTAGATTTATTATGAGGTCAACGGTCGACAGTATATTATTGGCTGTCTTGCTGCTGCCTGTAAGACCAATTGCTCTGACCAAGCCCGAGCTTCATGCTAGTGGTTTCTGTTTTCTGGGATTAGTACGGCATACTGTATGGGAGCTGTTCAGCCTCAAGTAAAAAGTCATTGCGGGCACCCACTTGGAAGGGTTAGGAGCATTGGCTGCAAAAATAAGAGAGAAGTGTACAGAACCTTCGCTGCCCCTAGATTTCATTGCCACACTCGCGGTGCGGTCCTAATTTGCAAATGTTCCATCAAAATACGAATATTTTTGGTTTCAAATAAACATCGGTCGTTTGAGGATCGCTGGCTACTCCATCAGATTTACCAGATATCTCAGTTAACAAAGTGTTAGGAAAAGGAGCAATGTGAGATGATCTCTCTGACTGCCAAAAAAGAACAACCTCACCGACTATGTACGATATCGACATGATCTTTTTTGGTTTCAAGACATGATGGGCTCTCACCTGGTCGTCGAGCTGGTTGTAGTTGGAGGTATCAGTTGTTTTACGCTGACATTTGTTCTTATACAAACTCTGCAATACCCATGTAAACTCGTAAATGCTGTAGGAACATCAAATTTTTTTCCTCTTAATATGCTCACAGTAGCTCTATTCATTCTTTGCACATTCCCTGATAGTTGACGAAGCGTGTCCCGATCAAATGTGAAGCGATTCAGTTTCCGGAGAGACTTGGAGACTTTCCTGTGATACAACACTTTCAATCGTATGATATTTTGCAGTTTTTTTCAAAGAAATTGTTTCATAGACGTTAGAGTCTTCTGGCGCCTTCGATGCAACTCCCGCATTCGACTTTCATTCGGAACTGAAGAGTGGTAATGAGTGTGGGCGTGTGGCTTAAAGGCACCGTTTACGATAAATTTAGGGTACCCTTTTTTGACGGGAATTCATAGAACTACTCTAGAATAAAGCGGTAACAACGAAAGAAGCGCAAAAAACGATGAACAAAAAGAAATAGAAAGGGTCAAAAAAGAGCTGGAAAGGGGGGTTGGACGAGTTTCACATTGGAAGAACGGCGGTTAAGGGAGTGTTCGGGCGAGTGCACGAAGGCGACGTAATGTCTGCAATAGCAGACAACACACCCAAGCAGACAACTTCGCTCCAATGCGAATGTGGTGAAGGACAATTAGAACTCGTAGTCAGCCTAGCGAGGGGCGGAAGCCTCCCGTCCCCCACTGTTCCTCCCCTTACTGTGCCCTATCCAGACCGTTTTCCGACCTCATTCCTGCACAAATGGTATCAGAGGGGGCGTCGAATTCAAACCATGTGCAGATCTCCGAAACCATTTTTTCGTGCCTTTAAACAATGAATTGCGGTGGCCAGCCGATGTTCATGTCAGAACTATCTTCCCTTCGGGGTTTGGTACCCATCTACTGGTCTCTAAGGGTTGGAAGGCTTGGTTGGCCTAGGTGGATAGAGGTCTGAGCTCCCCGTGACCATGTGTGTGGTAGTCACGTCCTACCCTAAATTCCGCTTCCGCAGAGGATGAAATTGTCACCTCAATACCCATTGCTGCCCCTTTCCAAAGATCCTGGCTGGAAGCCGGCTATGTTGCATGCCTTCAAGGGGAAACGCTATAGTCAGTTGATCTATCCTTCAACCCTCCACCCTTTGAGGAACTGAAAGGGTACCCACTTGTAAAGTTTAGAGTTCTTCTTGTTACGTGTTTCCTTCTCCATCTTGCCTAGAGTATCCGCACAAGCGTCGATCGAGTACTCAAATGAACATTATTCAAACCAAGCCACATTCTCCACTTTGATTCTGCAGTAACTGCATAATACCTGCACATATTCATTCGTAGGAAGGTCAGGGACACTTGGAGGCAGACCTGAACAGTTTGAATGGTGGTGATCATAGAAGTAGTAAGGATGTGTTAAAATATTGACAGACCTGGGCCAGGAGGAGGAGTCGGGAACGGTTGATAGATTGTAGGAGGTGGAAATGGTGTCGGTGGAGGCTGATAAGGTGTGGGTGAATATACTGGCAGCGTAGGAGGACCATAGTAGTCATAGTCACCTGTTATTTCATGGTACAGTCAATAAGTTAAGCATGTTCTAGGAATCTGGCAATCTAGTCGATTCACCTGGAGGAGCTGGTGGTCCCGCTGGTGCTGGTGGCACTGGCCCGGGGTTGAATGGTGGCCAAGTAACCGAGGGAACATAGAGAGTGGGCGGCGGTGGTTTTGTTGCTGGCGGCTGATACTGAAAGCTTGGAAAGTGGAATTTGGGATTGAGTTGTAAAAGTCAAAGTTCACATATAATCGGTTACCTGAGCGCTCACACATGAAAGAAAAGCTACTATGAAGCCTGAACGAAACAACATGGCGTACAGCATTCCTAACTTCGAGTTCTGGTGCTTAAATATTCGGAAATTGAAATTCAACTCGGTGATCAAATGAAAACAACATTTATCCCATGGAATTGTTATTTTGTAGGGGTACCAGCTTAGTATTTGGTTTTTTGAATAAATTTTTATCATCTTCTCTCAGATGACTGGATTAGAGAGATCACTCCGAATGATGGAGTTCAAAGTTTAAAGTCCAATAACTATTCCTAATTCTGCTCCACCTATTCCCAATGCCTTATTTACAATAACTTTGGTCATAATATGCGGGTTTCTTGATGGGCTCAAGCTTCAATGTTTTTAAGGCTCTACATCAACAGCGAAAATGAGAAACCAGCTATGATCGTATTCATAAGAATAGTAACTGGCTTAGCATCGGTACCTTTCGCTGAATTCATGTAACCCTGCGTCTTTTTGAGAAAGCGTAGCCGTCTGACGAAGGCTAACGTGGCGTACTTCGATCCATTAGTTTTATTTGATGGTTTGTACCAGCGTTCAATAATCGTAGAAGTCTTCTGAATCATCTGTCATTCTGTGCATTTCTTCTATGCTTTCTTTCTTCTATTTGATCTGAGTTTGAATAGACCGCCGACGAGTGTAAAGCTCATCTGGGAATAATCTCAGGTGAGCTTTTCACTCGTCGAAGGTTTACTCCACTACCCAACGTCGAAAAGAAAATTTGGAATATTACTTATACTGCTTGAGGTTTTTTTTTTGGATGTAGGGATGTCGTGATGAAATCTGTTTTCCAAGATAGTCGAACGGACTCTGGGCAGAGTTATTAAGGTAATTCTTGGGTGAACACCAAAAATAGCGCAGCATTAAAAAAAAACATGGCTGAATGCGGACTCCCGGGAGTGACTTGGAGATAAAGTAAGTGCGACGAATAATGTACGTGAATCTATTGTTTTCTACCTATCCCATGAAATTCGCTTCAACTTACTTTCTTCCTATTTCATTTGTTTTTAGTATACTTTATCGAAACTAACAATCGATTAATGTTCAATTCCATAGGACAAACTTCGATAGGCTCAGTGAAAACCACCTCTCGCGCCCTGACCAGCATCTGCTGGACAAAACAAACCGCATATACCTTAGTAACAACCTCTCCATGTTTTTCAACCGTTTGTCTCGCTCTTTATAAGGCATTCATTCACTGCCACGGAAATGAATTTATATCGTCGATCATAATGATTACCATGCAAAGCAGCGTGATGCCATTCGTTTATTAAAGCGGTCGATAATCACTTGATATTGGTTTAGTCACAAAAATCGTCGATTATTTCTCTAGTTGCGTCCACAATGCGTTTAGCCCTTGCTATCCTACTGGAAGTGTTATTGTTATTGTTGTCGTCGTCATCGTCATCGTCGTCATCGTCGTCGTTGCTGTCCTCATCATTGTTATTGTTGTTGGTGCCGTTGCCGTCGAGCTGGAATTGGGCAGAATAACTTGCTTACTCGTAATATTGTTGAACTGGTACTTTTAAACCTCTCCGGTCAACTCAGATTTTCCTTTAGATACGCTAACCCGAAAGTCAGTTCACAGTGAATAAGCGACACTTCAAAAATGGTTCTGGAGTGAAAAGGATTACTGGTTCCTAACCAGCGTTCAGGTTTATTGTATGGACCCCTTTACCTATCCTCTCTGATCAGTTAAAGGCACAATTCACGGTAAAAATGGTTTTGAGATTTGCTCATAGGATGAATTTTGGGTTCTCTCATATACCATATGTATCGCTATCAGGTCCGAAAACGGCCTAGATAGGGTGTTAAAGGCTCCAAGATCGTACCATGTGTATCCTCGGACGAGTTTCACTGCCATTTAGAGCTGCACCGACCACAAGGGGTCAGCTCTTCGCGCAATTGCAACAACTAAAATCTCATGCTAATACCCTTCCATGTTATTTCCGTCACGATAATCTCACCAAACCTTTGTTTTCCCTACTTTTGAGGAGCCTTAATTTTCTCGAAATTGACGAACTTTTCGCCCTCTTCACTGCCGATGAACTAATCCCAACCATACTTCCGTTTCGATCAAAAGAGGTACTTCGAAATTGTCGTAGGCTGTGCCTTTAAGTCCCCTCCAGCTTTTCTAGATCGCAGTGAAACAAACCAGCAAAACACTGGCTTCATCTTCACACCACAACCTTATTACATTTTGGTAACTTTTACTTTGTGTGCCGCCTGATTTAAAAGATAACAGCGATTGACTACTCCATTTAGGTGATCGCTTATGGATCACTGTGTACGGTAGTATAACGAACGCACTCCTTCTTTGATATGAGGTGCTATCACGTTCAAGGTTTAGACCAGTCACACGCTCTGATTCGCTTTACCTATTGATCAATTACATCGCCGTGTCAACCATGCGCTTTACTTACCGGACAAACACATCGCCGTGACATTCTCTGCTAGCTGAATTAGAATCCTTGGGAGCCCAGTAATTTCGGGAATATGGTTTATATACGTGACGCGTTAGACACACCCTTCAGAAAAATTATCAAAGTTTAAAAGGAATAGGAAAGTAGTGGGAGTATGTGTTCCTGTGCGGTTGATCAAGAGCTAGTTGACAGATAAGTCTTACGTCATTGCTGAGGCTGTCGTAGTCATCTATTTCACCGGACGTTTGATCGCATCGATTGCTGTTATATAAAGCCTGTAATCAGTGGCGAAGTGGTTAGTGGTAATGAGAAAAATCCGGAGTCTTCTGAGTCTTTCAACTCTGAAGAGAACTCTGTAAACCCGTGACAATTCAAACTACAAAATCTTACGTTCGCAGCGTTTAGACGACGTATACTATCTGATAATTGCTGCAATTCATTCCTGTTGAAGTCGATCTCCTGCAAGGTTTCAAGGGCTCCAACTGCTTTCCTGGGAATCATACATCCATCAGGAAAAACATCTGTTACTGAAGAATAAAATTGAAAGAGGTTAAGCTGAGCACCTGTATAGATTGAGGTTTCTTCTGTTTCTCTCCACTTCTACCATCTCGTTCAAAGTTTCTATACTATTTCTGATCGCGTTCTGGAAAATTACGGCCATTCGGGGAGGGGATTTTTAGTATGTTTTAGTCAGAACATTACAATAGTTACAATATTCAGTATAGTACTATAGCCTCCAGATTAATGAGGCTCCAGATTGCTTCGAAGTCTTGACCATGAGTTTATTAGCAGGTTAATATTGTACGCCAATTGGAAAGTTTATCCGTTCACTCCTTTTTTTAGGTTAACCAACAAATAAAGATCCCTTCAGTTCCAGAATCCTCGGAAACAAATCTCAATTGAGCAGCGGATGTTTTACCCTGGGAGATTTCCTTTTAAGTGGTCATTGATCAGGCTAAGCGAGCACTACCATGCCTTCACTTTCGTGGTGCAAAATCTACTATAGAAAACTTTAAAGACGGATTCAATCTGATCTTGAAATTTGGAGGACCATAGTCAATCGAATTGCTGAATAGTCTCTCAAATAATCTGCACATATGAACAAAGACAAATGTGGAGCGCATTTTAAAAACGCTCATAAACTTGAAAACCAAACTATTTTCGGAAGTACCTGGAAGTTCCTCAAAGTCGGTACAGTGGTTCTTGTAGTCGGCCGCCGTGTTGTAGATTCATTGGTGTCATCTGAGTCTGAAATTATGCTTCTTTGGTAGCAAAAACTTCTGTTTGAAAGAGTTCAAAGCGTTTCCTCCAATTTTTCCTAGATTTAAGGGGAGGGAAGTCTACTCCATACAAGCTCAGCTCGAATCCAGAATTGAAACTCGTTTGTAATTTCTCTAGGATCGCCAAGATGAATGGCAGCTCATCCGGGAGGGGAAAGGGGGAGGGAGAATAGTACAAAGAGTGCCCAAAGTCACTACATTCTTCAATAATCACTCGAACTACTATGATCTAGGCTAAAAGCTCATTGCTTGATCTAAAGTATCTCAAAAGTCAACTTACTTTTGTTATCCATCAATGCCGAAGAATATTCTAGCTAGGAAGTATTTATTTATTATATATTTATTTATTTCTGCCTAGTTTTTTTTAAATAACAAAATTATTCTCACCTGTTCTTTGACCAAGCGCACAGGAAAGTGAAAGGGCAATTCCTACAAAAAGCAGCATCACAGCGTGATTTTCAAACCCACTGATAGGCTAGGTTTATATATAATTTGCATTGATAGATATTAACATAAATAATAGTCAACATCATGTTATTCCGCTTGAGAACGAATAGCACTATGCCCATCTGATACTTGTGTTGATCCTGTTGTTACTCTACTACATCGTACTTCCATAGATCACTTCAGCAGTGGGCACATTCAATGAAATTCATTTTGCGTGATTATTCAAATATCAGAACTTGACGTAACTGCGCGATAGATGTTATTCTCTTTAGTAATCTATTGCACTAGTTTGGATTTTCAGTGAATATTTGATTTTATTGATTTTAGATTTGATTTCGATTTTAAGCGATGAAACCTCCGCCTGAATTACTTTTTTGTTTTGTTACAAATATCTCATGATCATTGAATAAACTAGGACGAGCTCTAAGGATAAGGCAAGCTCTTGAAGCATCAAAGCATCGTGCTTCCTGCCTTTTCGCCAAGTTCCTGTTAAGATAATAAGTATATCGATCTACTGAGCTTCCAACTACAGTTTTCCTTTTTTTCTAGAAATTGGTTGGAGTAGAATTTCGTAGGATCTAATAAGCCTGCTTCGGCATAAGGTAGGCTCGATTTATGGGCTATTCAAGTCAAGAACGACATTATTGACTCTCTGCCTGGAGAATTTTTTAACCATTCAGATTTCTAATACCCTACTGTGGTAGATTTAACTCAATTATTTGTGAACTCCACATCGTCGTCGCGATCAGAAATCGACCCAGATTATTCTACCGAAAAGATCAAAACAACCACTGAAAAGGTCGTATTTGTTCAGTTTTACGCACGTGTGGAGCGTATTCGTACAGGAATGCGTTGAAAGAGGCTTGACTAATCTCTTGTCCTTGGCGTTATTCTTGCGTTGTTTTTGAGAACTCTACTAATCTTGAGTCAATATTTCGATCAAAACAGTATGTGCTATAATTTTGTTATGCGATTCACGGACTTTTTGCAGCTGTTGTTTCGAAAACCAACAATTCTATCTCTTTCTATTTTTATCCCCTGACATAATCCACTATTAATCCTTTTGTAGCATGAAACAGGGTTTTCGTTGCTCTGTGACCAACTGATTAATAAATGATTTCAGCATGCAAATGTGTTTCTGCTTCGATGGCCCACACTAACAAATAAGTAAATGTCAAAAAATAGTATGAAAATTAGGCTACTGCCAGAAAAGGGAATCTTTGGTTTTTTCAAGGGCTGTATTCAAATCAGCTTTCAGTAGTGAAGCTGGAGGTTCCGCCTCCAAATATTCATATCGATGTGTCGAGAGCAACCTTCCGTAAATCAAGTAGATACAATACACGGTTACACTAAAGTAAGGAGCTCCCTTCATACCTGATATCTTTACAGTGAAAGAACAGATTTTTTCCAACCTTTCATCAAATTGGTTCGATTCAGCAATGTTTAAATAGTAGCTGATGTCTCGGATAAAGAAATCTGATGTTTTTATGAATTTTCCCAGATCGTGGCGTCCCAGAAGTACGAGTTCATTTGGGTCTTCTGCAGGACTTTTCACTGAGGTCAGCTATGAAGTCACTCTGTCTCTGCTGTTCTTACCACTTTTGTTCTATAGTGCTTCCTTTATCCGTCTTTGAAAAAGACCGAATTTCGGCTAGGAACTTAAGAACCGTGTCATTTTAAGACAAGGACGACTGTTGCGATATAGTCATGGTTGGGTCCCCTTCTCTTCATTTCTTGGAGAAAAATTGTCTTCATAACGGAGAAAAATGGTCTTCATAACCCTAAATTCGATTCGAAACCTTTCACCGAAACTACTTGATGCCATGCATGCAGCACATCATACCGACGAACTTACCATTTCAACAAGCCACGCTGCCGTTCATGTTGACACCTTAAAGAAGGAGTCTTCAAGCCTGAATTTCACTGATCTCAAATCAATATTGCCGTTCCCTTCGCAAGTCAGCACTGCATACTGCACTGAATGATAGCTAGATTTGACCCTTAGTTCATTATTGGTTTTTATCCAAACGTTAGGCTCTAGTGCAATTAGGTAAAAGTTGCTGACTCTTTGCACGGTGTAGCAGACTAAAACGCATGGCAAAATACAAACCCTCTATTTTCCTTTACTTTTTGGCATTTTCTTTCACTACAATACTTCATTGTATTCAACACATTATAATTCCGATTCGATCCCTGGAATCTGTTAACGGATCCTCCCGCAATTCGCTCAGTCTATTTCAAGATAATGTCAATCCACATTTAAACGGTGCTATTTGAATGTGACCTCAGCGTGAAATTCGATTTGGCATTATACCACATGTGAATGTTGGTAACGATAGTGCCGAATCCTGTGCAGGATACTATCGGACCCTGGTTCAGTTTCAGTTTTTAGGTTGTGTTTCACTGACATTCTCACTCAGTAAATTTATTCATTTACTCTATTCTGTATTCAAACGGCGAATGGCTCCAGCAAAGCACGTGATAAAATCTTGGGCCATCACACAATCGTGACGAAAACGTAGTATGGATTTGGTACCTACGACCAGGACCTTTGTTATTTTATAAGTTAATTTCAGCTGCTTTCATATTTGTGCTTCTTCAAATGTTGCGTGCTTTTCGGGATTTTCATCGATTTTCGGTTTCGAGACTCTATAGAGATGCACTGGATCATCAACACCCAGCGACAACATGATGGCGCGGGATCGATTGAAGGAGGCGAAAAAGTGGATCACAAATAGAGTAGCGTTGTAATCTGTGTTAAGGATTGAATAGTGAACTCGAACTACATTTGCTATGGAGTGTATTAATAGCTAATGGCCCTTGTGTAGATCTATGGTGAATTCGGTGCCAATAATCGCCGTCGAGGAGCTTATCTGGGCTTATGGTCGTCGTGTAGATCAGTGATCAATTTGAATGACCTTTCTTCTCAAATCAATGAACGGATGGCCCGATTGGGATAGCGGGCTTCCTCGGTTCCAACGGTTTATCTATTTTCAATTGTCGCGAGCCCTAGAATGATTTTAGTCAACTAGTTTCTGAGGCATGGTTTTCCTCATAAAATCCTCTTCACTAATCGGTGCTTCGCTTTTTCACGAGTTTTTTTCCTTTTCGTCTTTTTCTACACCGAATAACTTAGACCTTTCAAGAGTGATCAATACTTTTACTAGTAGAATGCGTGTTCTATCGATTAGTCGCCTACCTTTTCCATTGCCTCATTTTCCAGACCCAATGAGCGCTCTATTCCATTTACTCCTCTTTATCATGTTTTTCTCGAGTCATGTTTCTTTTCTTTATGCATCAAGCTAAACAATAACTACTGGGCTTCATAATTTCGCACGAATCACAATTTTACAATTGCTCCACTGATAAATTTTGAAACGAACTTTCAGGCTAAGGAAGAATAATTCATTCCGAAGAATTCATGGAGTTATCAAGCGAACGGGGTTGAAAGTGGAGCCTTTTTGGGCGTGGGAAAGGTGAACTTCTACAAATAATAGCGTAATTGTTCAGAAGCGTGGGCATACAAATTTGTTGTGTTGTTTTCCTTTGCTTTTTTCGCTCCGTATTATTCAAATGTGCCACCTTAGTTTGCTGTAGCTGGTTTGTTGTTTCGAGAATTGTAGTTATTTAGTATTTAATTAGAGTCGCTGTTTGGAGGTAATACAATATTTTTTTCAAACGTAGCTCTAATAGCGCGAAATGACTATTGCAATTCATACAGATTTTGTGCTAGGAAGGAGTATAGCTGCAACATTTCAGGAAACAATTCCATAACACCATAACTTGGGCTACAAATGGTAAATGCGTCAAACGACTCATGAGGATAGGATACAGTCTACTACGTGCCTCCGTTTCCGTATGAATATTTATCATTCACCCTGACTTATCCACGCTACGTTTTCTCATACAAGGCAAAAGATACTTAATTCGAAGAAATCGACCCTCCGCATTGAATTCCTGCGCTGTTTCCTGTCGATGGACTCGACTTATCGAGGTCCTTAGAAGGGGTGCGTCCTATGATTTAGGATTGTTTCACCTTCCTCTGTATACTAAAGCTGTACATTAGCGAACGACGCCCTAGCAAATGGTCTCCAGTACATCCGCCAGGGAAGTTTGCACCTTGCTAGTCCTAGACGAGCAGTCCCCCTTTACTCATTAGACCACACCAATCAACGTTTGGCAAATATATGTCAGCTCAGCAATCAATTTGATCGATCTGCTAATCACAAAACGATTGGCGAAATCGGAGCACCGTTCATGTTGACTTTTGCTTTACCGCTTTCGTAAACGCTCCAAGATGTTGATGGATGTAGCTTCGCTTGAATATTATTGATATGCAATCAGAGCGGTCGCATTTGAGGGATGTGAAGGCAGCCGTAAAACTGGGTGTATGCTCAGAACGGATTTTCTCCTCCGACAAACTCAGCGCAGTGTCGTGTATGACACGAGTTCATGACCGAATGCTGGACGACCTACAGCACGAACTGGGGGAAATGACGCAGACACTACGGTGTGGAAGGCAACGACGGCGCGCAGTTTTTTCCATCTCTTTTTGGGAATTTCGAAGATCGTTACTAATTACTGTCGATGTCTACAAGTTGTTTTTTGGTTTTTACCCAAAATTTAGGTTGTGCGCATAGAGCACTATACCTTGGTCTGGTCGTGCCAACCTGTCAATACACCACACAACAAAAATCCGCGTGGCAGTGCAAGACACGCAAGGTATTCAGAAAGTTCAATGTTACTTTGACAGGGAAGACAATTCCATTGACAATTAACGACTAAGATGCTCCAAACACCCAGCAGACAGCACGTACGCTTGAAGGACTTGTACGCAGCCGAAGCAGTTCCTTGATCCCGAAAGATGTGCTCCCTCTCTGGTGTCAGAGAAACACCGAAATCTTCTTTTACGCGAGATAACGCCCCAATTCACGTCAGCAGGAGCACCCAAACTTGGTTCTTTCGGCATCAGATTACACTTCTGCCCTGACCGACGAACAGCCCCGATTTGAATCCTATGGTAACTGTATGGGACTTCATGGTGCGGAAGATTTGTGCCTAAAACAAGTAATTTCGAGACGTCAAGAAGTGGGAAAAAGCGTTCATCGAAGCATGGCACCAAGATGACCACGAGCTGACTGAAAGTTTTTTTTTGAGCCTAGATCATTGTATTTCTGAAGTAATCGGAAGGAATGGTGAGCCAACTAATTATTGACTTTGTAACTTTCTCTACTTATTGTATAATTGTTGTTGAATAAATTAATTCTGTTAATGGCTGTATCATTTGGAGACGTCGGAAAAGCACCCTTTACTGAAAAATTCACCAAAAATATGTTTGTGTTTCCGAGCTGGAATTTGGTGATAATGTGCGAATTGCAATTCAGATATGAGCATTTTTACTTTGGCACATTTTCGATACAACGTATACTGTGAGTTTATGGGAAAATCAGAGATGGTGGAGACACATTGGATATCATGAAGTGGTTTTCCCATGAAATGAAATTAAATATGAAATGTCTGCATTGTATTTCTCGTAACTCAGGAGGACATTCTTGTTGTAATCAACATTTTTGCTTTTGAGTGGACTCTTGACTCAATCCAGTTTGAATGGAATTGTAATGCAGAACATCTTGGTAATCGAAAAGTGAACGGAAGCGGGCATCCATATGCGCATTTTACGGTTCTTAAAAAGGCATCCTTGTTCGAGTCTCGCTCCTGTCGGCTGTTCTTCCATCGACCCTATTCCAACGTTGCCTCCATATGTCCAAGCGTCAGCGTAAAGCAAGTCGTGCTGAAGAAAGACCTCGTCGTCGATGCCTTTGTGGTGGCTTAATCGAAAACTCCTGAATATTGTTTGTTTCTCAAACTCCCTGGCTTTCCACTAAATAACTCCGAAATTCACAACTCCTGTCCGCTTGGGCATGAGTTACGAGTTTCCGTCGAACACGCATATACACGCGCTCTTTGAAAATGAAGCGTAAGGATCACAAAGTTTGGTAAGCGTTGTTTATTGAATGCCCGTAGTTTTTCTGTAATGTGACGTGATGAAAAGATTAATTTACGATTTTGTCAGTTTCATGAAGCGTAACTGATGTATGATCAGTACGCTGTGAGTAATCGAAAGAGTCTTTCACCCTCTTGACTTTTTTTGGGAACTCATTGATGAAAGTTTTCATTAGGAAAAGATTTTCAGTTTGCCGAATAACGTCGGGCGATTAAGTGATCTAATCGCAGTAATCTTCGATAATCTCCCTGGCTGCATCCACAATACGTTTCACCCTCTCCACCTGATTGGAATCATCGTCGCCTTTGCTGTCATCATCATTAAGCTGGAAAATAAGTTTTAGAGCAGCTTAATAGGTTGTCATGCTGCAACTATCAATGTTTTCAGATGGTAAAAAATTTGGGAAGGCGATTAGGAGATGTCAGAGAGGCTTTGCGATCCTGTTCTGCATCACTTTTGCAAAAACTCAAGCCCTCTCTGCTTCTTCACACTACAATAATTTCACAACAACTCCTCTTGATAAAGCCATGAGTCACATTGAGTTAAGCGCTTGAGTAATATGTATGCAGTCTTGTGTTCCATCTATACCAGGTGCCTATAGGGAAGTCAAATTGCGGGGGACAAGAATAGCTGGATGGAGATAAGGGTTGCTTATTTTTTGTCATTATCTTCACTCTAAAGTTTAATAGTCAGCCTGGAACAGGTAAGAGTGCAGCGGAAAGATAATCAAAAAGTCTCACGTCATCGTAAAGGTCATCGTATTCGTCGTCGATTTCAGATGAAGTTTCATTGCAATTTCCGCTGCTATAGACAGTCTGCAAGGGATAACGAACACCTTTATAAATAGTACGAAGGAATTTGCGGTGCTCACATTGGCAGCGTTCAAGCGCCGTATATTTGAGGCCAACTGGCGTAACGTGTCCCTGTCATAGTCAAGCTGTCGCACAGTTGTCAGAGAATCAATTGCTAATCTTAAATTGAGAAATCGCTTCAATGGAATCTGTGAAGTTTATTGATAGCAAAATCTTCAACGATAGGGAAATATCGTACCTGCAAAGCTTGATGTTTCTCTCGTTTTGGCTCTTGGATATGATTTCATTCAGATTATCTATAGTGCGGTTGATGGCACGCTACAAACAGTCCTCATCACTTTAAAAACAATAACAGCTCATTTTTTGACCTCTAAGATCGTCGCTAATATTATTTTAAACGGGTTTAACTATTGAGTTGAATGTACACCTATTAAGACTGATCGGTACTATGTCCCCAGCTCGACTTGGCCATGATTGATAGACAGGTTCATAAAGTAGGTAGTGGTCGCTATTTCCAGGAGTTGCGCTATGGCAATGGTATTCTAACGCGATCCCTTTCACTGAATCTGGGCGAATGGTGCGATCGGTAACGCAAGATTCATGATTCGTTGTTCTAGAACTTTGTGTACGTGATTTTAATAAACTTTTATCAACTTCTACGGATAAAAGGAGATATTTGCTTCCTACGTATCTGCCTTCAGGTCATCATTGCTTGGGATGAAATCATCTTAGGAGCCTCTATCCAGTACTGGAACCAACCTGAGGGTCTTCTCGGTGCGATCCCTATAACCTTTCTATTTGAAACGTACCTGAAAGTTCCCGATCGTTGGTATGGAAGAGTTTGTGTTGGACCGCGATGTTGTGGATTCATTGGATTCATAGGAATCTGAAAAGCCTGTTTACATCCAGTCCATTCTATATGAATAAAATTATCGAAATCCCTTCCTCTCAAGTGACTGATACTATTGACAACTTCAGTATAAATCTAAATCTTAATCTGAATCATAATCATAGCATTTGGGAACGGGGCAGTATGTAACGTGCAGACCTGTTCGCTGAGCAAATGTGCAGGAAACAGAGAGTATCACGCAGAAGAGGAGAAACATTGAGAGTCATGAGCCTAATATTCACCGCGGTTCATTTTATACGGGAAAATTAGCATTCCATGTTGCCAATAAATGTTTTCTAGTTTGGAAAATATCACTGAGAACTCTAAACATCATGTTAATCCTAGAGGAAGTGCAAATATGTACTCTACTGATCGCAGATTTCAGCGGACTTCTGTGATCAAAGGTTCTGGTGGACTACTGATAAACTTTAAAGTTTTCATGTTATGTAGCAGGTTCAATCAGTGCGGATTACATCCCTTCCCATCCCTAAGTGGTAAGACGAATCTACAGGTTCGATGATGCCATATCAGAACTTAGCCTTCTATTTGTGGAAAACCGAAGGCAAGAGGTCCTTCGGACGAGATAGCTCCCTGAGTATTTCAGCCTTGTAACCTTTTCTGTTGGAAGTGGTGCAGTGGCAAATAACGGATTATCAATCACGCACGGTCCTTCGATCGAATCCTTGGAAACACTTAATCTGCTTCTCAAATCCCTTATTTAGAAAAGTATTTTTAGAAGTTCGACGTTATTCATAATTTCATTCGAAAACATTGCTAAATTTTGGGAGTAATAATGCGACTTTCCCAAAAGCCGTCATAATAGCATTACATTGTTTATTGCATTCCAAGTTGTTCAAAAATTAATGCATACCTACGATTAATATTCTGTTTGTCGATCATATTTTGGCAAAGAGCTGATATTGTTCTGTTACATGTTATACCAGTCATGTTAGCCAACCCTGGCCGGCCTCTGCTTCCTTCGCAGTCGAAACTGGAATGCATTACTGACGCCTTCCATCATGGTGGAAAAGGTGTAGTGGCAAGTGGCGCACTATCACATGTTTATGGTCGGGGGTTCGAATCCCGAATTGATATCAGCTCAGGTCAATCAAGCCTAAAATCCTACTTGGCTACCAGATCACACTGGAAGTATAAAAGCACTAACTTGTACATCAGTTGGCCACTGAAAGTTACTGTATAGGTCACATAAGTATTCATTATGCCTTACGAGTCTGAATGGAGATCGCGACGCATCCTCCAGATGGGATTGGTTAACCCCCGAAGACTTCGCAGACTTTATCGAACAACATTCTTACACCGCAAATGCATATACACACATACACACACACATATACACGCACACACAAACGCACACACAACATTTTTGGCTCATTATATATAGTGAGAGATCATCCGAGAGCAAGTGCAACAAACAAACATATTTTGTAAAAGTTTTTACTTTCACTTAAAATATTTCTCGATTACAAATACAGTCCTCCAATAGAACCTCAATGAAGATGGCATGGCCGAATAGTATCACCTGCTGTTACTTACTCGAATTAAAGAACTCCAGCCTTCTAATCTGGCTGACTTTAATATCACCTTCGAGAAGAGTTGATGTTTTTACCTTCTGAATCTTTGAAAGAAGCTCTCAACATTCACGCTTGTTCCGCCATGAGATTTTCTGATCTCGATCGGCCTTTTCAGGAGGAAGATAGAGAACAATGGGCACATCTTCGAGCCAATAATGTCTTGTAATTATTGCAATAGCACAAATTTGTTCAAGCTTCGGAAATGCTTGAGAATTTGAGTAAGGTTATGATACTGGCGAAATTGCAAAAAAACATCGCAAATGTAAGTTAATTGATCATAACCATTTGCTGCACTCAGAACTGAGACTCATTCCACTGCCAAAATGCTTTTTTATACCGGTTTTCCGTCTACTACTGATTGCTTGAAGGCTGGCGAAACATGTCACGAACTAAAGGAGGCGATAACTTTCAAAAGATTGCAGGACCATTTCAATGATTTGCTGGTAACTACTATGTATGAAGTCCTTGTCTCTGCACAGACAATAAAGACCAGATGGTGGTAGGACTTTAGGACTTAACGTGTTTTTCATACTATGAGGTCTAATCTCATGACCGAACAATGAGTTCTATGAAATAATGCAACCATCCAAAGTAAGTCTTCTTTCAACACCTACATACTGGCTTTGCGGTTAATGTGTTTAAGCGGAAGCATAATCTGTCCGTGATTTGGCTTTGTATAGTCAACCAATAGATATAAAGAGAAATTTTCTGATACCGAAAATAAGCTAAAGGGCAGGACTCTCTGTTAATTCATAGTTTACTATTGAGAGGTAGTCATTTTGGAAGAGCTTTTTGATCTTACTTCCTCGGATTTTTCTTCCTTCATGATATTACTTCTGCGACTCCAACGATATAACTTGATAGATTTATTGAAAGTATTCCTTTCAGCAGGTTCACACTGCCAATCGCCGAACGGTATCGATCTAAGATCCACAGTAATCCTCAATGCATTGAGCTGCAGCGTCCATGATGCGTTTCGCTTTAGCGACACGCCTGTTCCCTGACCCACTTCCGTCATCATCTTCATTGCTACCATCGTCATCAAACTGAAAATTACTTAAATGGTGAATTACTGAGTAGTGGTTCGAAACGCTCTGATTGATGTTGCAGTTGGCGTGTCGAACCCCAAAAGTAACGAGAACTCTTACGATATCATCCAGCTGGTCATAGTTTCGAATCTCAGAAGATTTTCGCTGGCAGTTGCTTCGATAACGTGCCTACAATCACTCTCCATTATTATCAGGCAAATACGGATAGTTCGTCACTCACACTGGCACGATTAAGGCGTTGAACATTGGCCGACAGCTGCCTCAATCCAGCCCTTTGGAAATTACCCCGACTGAGAGATCGTAGGGCTTTAGCTGCTTTCCTGTGAGGAAAAATTAGTTAAAAGAGATGATCGACGAACTTCAGATCTCGTACCTGAACAGCTGAGTATTCTTTCTGTTGCGGCTGTCGTTTACCATACTGTCCAATGTAGCTGCACAAGTGTCGATTGCATTCTGAAGAGAGAATTAACATGGTCAAGTTTTTGTTCACAGAACAAACTGGCCCAATCTACCCGGAGGAGTAACTACTAGGAAACAAACTAAATCGGAATCCATTTGAGTGAACTGAACATGCCGCTGTTTTAACAACCCCTTCAGATCAGTTTTGGCTTAATCTTAAGACTGCAGCTGACTGAATCGTCAGAATAACCTGATTAGCTTATTGCTATCATATTGAAAAGGTCTCCACCTCGCCGCTCTCTCATGCTGAGATACACAAAGCAATGCGACAGGAGGACTACTGTCCTGACCATGTCTTTTCTCCTTAGCTCTTGAGTTGAAAGGGATTCTTGGTATTAATCGTTCTTTTGCGTGCTCAAATGTGCTTGAGTTTTCTACCATGCCACAGATCGTTGGTAGAATCAATTTGATAGCACTATTGTAGTTTGCTGTGAGCACGGGTGATTTCATGATGTTCGTTCCTATCAAGAACCTCCTACAAGCAGATGATGTACGTACTTCTGTTTGAGCCCTCTACGCGATTTCAGAAAGGAGTTTCGGAATCGAAGCTCTGTTGCTTGCAGTAACTGTAAGTCTATGGATAACCTAGTCAGTAACAGTCAATGTGGTTGCCTACGCCAAGTCGGAAGACCTTTTTGACTGGAGACATAGAGTAAACATACATTACTCCTTTGTTTGTTGGACCTTACCATATTTATAATATCAAGTACGAAAAATCATATAAAATACCTGCACATCCTCATTGGTGGGCAGATCAGGAACGCTTGGAGGTAGGTCGGGTTCTTAAGGTAGAGAGTTTGGATCAATAGTAGGGCTTCCTATTCAGTGAAGATCTCTTACGCGTGGTAACTGCTCCTGGAGAAGATGAAGGCACATATTGAGTCGATGAAACCGAGGGTGTCCCTGGAGGGCTGTATCGAGTAGGCGGAGTTGACGGTTGTGTTACGGGAGGAGTCGGAGGAGTGGAACGCGTTCCTGAAATGACGTCAAGGTGCATTTTCCCACCCAAATGATATAAAATAATAAACTATATATACATTCATATGTTAAAAAGATAAAGAACAATCAGAGAAATGGATTAAATACATTCAATCCGGGACGGGGAGTAGGGATCAATGAAGTAATCCAGTTTTAGCTTCGGTTTCACATGAACCCAATGTGAAAATTCAATTTTATGTTTTCCAACCTACAAAATCTATTCCGACGTATTCTCAATAATATTCATATCATCAATGATTCAGACTTATCATGGTCCCCTTTCAAGTGCATGATTACTCAAGAGTCTGTATGTGAAAAGAACTGATCTCAGATGTAAAGTACCTGGCAAGACTCTGAGGTTCAGAAAGGTAATGCTCACTAGGTTTCTTGAGAACAATCTAATGCCGTAATCTTGGTATCCCGTCTAACAAGGTCGAACCTCTCTATACGGTAGGAATATTGAAACCTTACTGGAGTTATAAACAATATAAAATATCCTGACCTGGAGGCGAATAAGAGGGAGCAGTTGGAAGCGATGATGGAGGTTGGTTTGATGAAGGGCAAACGCATGGCATCGGAATAGGATTACATGTTGTTGGCTGGGTTTCGCCGTAGTTGTAGTAGTCATACGATGGTGGCGCCCCTGGTCCGCCGGTGGGGAGTGTAGGTGGAGTAGATACGGTTGGTGGGGTGGATCCTGGAGGGTAGCCAGGTCCTGGAGGTGGCGAAGGAGGAGAAGGAGGGCTATACCGGGGCGGTAGTGATGGTGGAGGAGAAGAAGGGCTGTATCGGGGCGGTAATGATGGTGGCGTAGGCGGTGAGTTTCCCGTTGGAGGCTGATATGGTCCTAATAGTCCACTATTCTGAAAGAACTTTTTGATCGTGAGATAGGCAATTCAATAGAGTATTCTACCTGAGCATATAAGCTTGAAAGAAAAGCCAGAAGCTCCAAGGGTATGATCATTGGATACAGCAACTTCCGCTTTCTGTGTGACTGTTTAAATACAGACAGATTTCGAATTCAGTATAAACATTCCCTAGTCGGATTAAATTTCTGGATTGAATAAAAATAAGTTTTCCATATGAGAGTATTGTCTGGCAAGAGTTTTAGTTTTCCACATTGTATAAATAGTCGTTTATTATGGCTTTGTCTGACGTCAGCTGGCTCGTGATTCGAAGGATTCGTCATGCCTCTCTTACTTACGATGGCTACCGGCAGTCTTCTTTGCATTTCAGGAATTATCTAAACCTTGTAAAACAACCTCAAAAACTCTACACTATAGAAAAACTCGAGGACCACACTATCAGTTGAGCCTCTTCTAGTAAGTTCGACCTAAGTTAAAGGTCAATCATGGCCAGTACAGTGCTTGGTACCCGTTCGAGTCGAGATTGTATCCTTCCCCTGACGCAAATGTACTTGAAAGAATAGGCAAGCTTGGAAGCTCGAGGATATTTTAATGTAAAGCTTGATCACTGAGGACGTGCAGTGGTAGCCCTCCGAGGCACTACCTTCGACCTTCTCTTTCGAGTGATACGTTAGAATGAATTCTATGTAGGAAATAAATAGCATCCATGATTCTTTTGGGAGGTGGATCGCACACAGCTCCACTTGATTTTATGAAATTTTGCAGTTGTCCATCTTCCACTACACAGTCCTGAGGTCTTTATAATTTATGCAATGGCGTATGGGAAGTCATCCATGTCGAACAAATGGGAAAAAAGAATAGAGACAACGTCATTGTTCGGCTCTCCCACGCAGGAGTAATCCTTAGATTTTGGATTAACCGCTCACCAGCTAAGCTTGTTCCCACACACTCCACAGTCTCTAACGATGTAGCTCTTTTGGTGCTGGCAGATGTTCGGTGATGGTAATGTGCAGCATCCGGTGTGCAGCACGTAGTTTGGGAGATGTAAACTCACAAAAGCTTAAGGGCAAGTAGGTGGTCAGTTGAGTTCGCTCCTATTTCAATGCTTTGAGCATGCTTACAGGAGACATGTCTAGGCAAATTAATTGCGAGGGACGACATCGGAAACTAAGAGGGGTCTTGGTGGTCACGCCCGTCTCGCGGAACACCGTGTTCCACTATAGACCACTTCGCTGAGCCTTGAGCTCCATTCGATTTCTTCTAGATGTCAATAAATAACATATTCGTTCTATAGAGGGCAGCAAGCCAGGTAGCAGTGAACCGATTCTCTGACCACATCAGACAAAAATGCTGTCACAAGTACAGCTCGTAAATTAGTTATTACCTTATAGGCTAACCTGCTTTGTTTACGTTTCCGTATGCTAATTTTTTGTCTGTCTTCTTAATTGTCTGAGTGTCAGTTCAGTTGCAATCAGTGATGGAGTAAAAAGAAAAATGGCTGCTCCCCTCAGATCTTTTTACTGTGAAACGAACGTATGTAAAACCTCTGTGGATGAATTGATACGTCTGATCTTACAAAAAAAGATTGAGGGATTTATGAAATTCAGCGACATTTAACAATATTGCTCAAGGAATCTGCTGGCCGTGTTAAATAGATTTCGTACACGTCGGAGCGTTGGATTGGATCCATTATTAGCCCACCATACCATCTGAAAACATATTTAAATGATTTTTGGTAACGCCGAAGGACTTTGTTCGAATGTTTATCTGCTCGTTAGTTTTGAAGAGTTTATGCCATTTCTATCATGGATTTGACACTGATTTGATCAGTCATCGTCTCTTGAATCGCATTAGAAACGCCGACGACACTTTTGCAATTGCTCATGAAATCCAACGAGTCCTTCACTACCTATGCACCTCACCCTTTAACTTGAGTTGGACCATAACTCACTCCAAAAAGAGTCCTAGAGAGAGAAATGAATAAAGTGGATGGCTAGCAGGGTATGGCTGCAGATAAATTTCCTCCTCGTTTCTCTATTAGCAAACGATTAGATGAGTGTGAGGGAAACCTACAGACCATGCACATCTGTGGAACAAAGATGAAGTTTTTGGTCATTGATCAATCCGTCCCATATTCCACTTCCATTCGAAACCGCAGGACCGTAGGACCACATCGAATGCGTATGTGGCCTCTGCAAAGACCTGGAAGGATGGAAGGCTTGGTTGAGCGGACAATGATCTGGTATTCGAACCCATAACCATGCCTGTGTGGCAATGCCGCTTGCCACTATGCCACCTGCCACCACGTGTGGAAAATACATTTCATAACAAGTGGTGAAGGTAAGAAGGAAGCAGGTGAGTGGCCGCATCCTCTCAAAAAAGATTGAAATGATTGCTCCCCAAGCGAGGCTTGCTTTCGACTTTGTTAAACCCTACCTCATGAAATTTTCCGAAAGAAAAGTTTCAGCTATGCAAAAATTATCTCGAACTCGAAAAGAATAAATCCAAAGAACTTTCTTCTCAATCATAAGAAAAGTCTCACATTTCCGCTCAGATTGTTCATTGCACTGATTGAAAGAGATTCCTGTCGGCAACCAGACGATGCTGAGGCAGTCTGAAAGTTTTCCAGCAATTTTTTCACAAGTGCTTTTTGTAAAGGGTAAAGGTAGCAAATGTTCAGCTAATGCGATCATTATGTCAATTTTTTGGGAAGCACGGATATTACTCTTTTATTAGGAACTTGAGTTTGAACTTGAAGGCTGGGGCTTTCACAAGAAGCAGCTGGGCTCCTTTCCTGGCCAGAGCAACTACGATCGATCCAGGGAGATTGCCCTGTGGTTCCCTCTCTTGAGAAGAATTGCAAGTTCTGCATTAGCAAATATTATCTTTTAGCAACATTCATCTTCACCCTAATGGACATTAAGGACTGAAATAGTGAGCCACTGAACAGGTAGATTGCCAGTTCAGATACCTATGAAATGATTTTTCGTCAGTTTCACGAATTTTTTTAGCCGGAAAGCGCTTGTTACACCAATTTGGCAGACTTACAAAATTACAGACCTGCCTGTAATTGATGTACTTACCACCGCTTCCATTCTTCTGATAGCAGGTGTGAGTGAAATTAATGTTGATTGGGCGTAGGTGAGTTTTTGACATGACTGCAGAGCAGTAGAAATTTCTCTAAAAAGTTATGATTGGTGAGTTATATGTCCTGGGGTTCTTAAAGGAACGAATTTAGTTCCTTCGTCAAATTGAGAATTATAAAAAATCACGAATTCGGTGTAATTTCCAGGCCTACGATTGAGAATTGCTTCTGTCAGTGGCCTTTTATACCTTTTATTTACTAAAGCAGTTTTAAAGTGAAAGCTGTAGAAGCCAAACTGAGGGTTCGCGTAACGGTCATGCTCTTGCATTAAGAAGGCACCGTTTACGATAAATTTAGGGTACCCTTTTTTGACGGGAATTCATAGAACTACTCTAGAATAAGGCGATAACAACGAAAAAAGCGCAAAAAACGATGAACAAAAAGAAATAGAAAGGGTCAAAGAAGAGCTGGAAAGGGGGGTTGGACGAGTTTCACATTGGAAGGACGGCGGTTAAGGGAGTGTTCGGGCGAGTGCACGAAGGCGACGCAATGTCTGCAATAGCAGACAACACACCCAAGCAGACAACTTCGCTCCAATGCGAATGGGGTGAAGGACAATTAGAACTCGTAGTCAGCCTAGCGAGGGGCGGAGGCCTCCCGTCCCCCACTGTTCCTGCCCTTATTGTGCCCTATCCAGACCGTTTTTCGACCTCATTCCTGCACAAATGGTATCAGAGGGAGGGGACGTCGAATTCAAACCATGTGCAGATCTCCGAAAGCATTTTTTTCGTGAGCAGTGCCTTTAAGGGTGTTTGTCAGCTGGTAGGAACGCTTCAAGAAGGCGACCATACTCTTGAAGAGCGGAGGACACTTGGATGTTCATGTGAACTCAACCTTAGGGAGTTGCAGTGCGTAGTAGGAACGGATCTCTTCCAATCTAGCGAAAGCTGTCTATTTGAGCTTACTCTAGTAAGTATTGGAACTCTGTTTTAGAAGCTGGGAATGAAGAACAAGCTAAGCCGATGTATACCACATCCTAAAAGCGAGAGAGGCTACCGTCAAAAGCCACTATTTTCTCATGAGTGAACGTTGGAAGACGTTATCCTTCAGCCTTTTATCTCTTTTGCAACTCTTTGTCCTCATACAGCGACGAGACAAGAATACAGGTCCGAATATAGGGCACTCGGTGCTAGTACTTGCAGACTCTACAGAACTAAGTCACAGCCACCAGTTCCGTGTAAGTGCGTTCCTTTCTGATCCCTCGCATGGGCATTACTCCAGGTTGTTGCGAATAGCATGACGACTCGGTTTCGGTGATATAACGACGACAATGGCAACTGCGTCCAGCTCTTGACAGATCCATCATTTAAACTGACTAGACCGCCTTTATGAGCTTACTTTTCACCTACAGTCTCTGAGAATTCACAACGTACCGTAGTAACTTTGAGATGATCGGGTCTCTTTCATGAGCAGCCAGAGACATTAACATCGAGGAGCAGTTCGCGATTGAAGTCTGAAATGTCGAGTAAGGCTTCTTCTTAGATGAAGTCTGGAATAAGGGAATGAATACTGAACTGCGCAAGATAATTATTAACAAGCTGGGGCTAAGCGGTACAGTTTTATTTACATGCCTGCACTTCAGCACTCATCGCTGCGTAAAGCTCCGAAGAAGCCGGTGTCGGTACAGCAAGAGGAACACGCCGTACAGGCGTTGGTTTCGCTGCTTTCGGTGAAGGAGGGTATTCTGCTGACTGAGCTGCAATGTAGGCTCCATTGTCAAAAAAAAAACAGAAAGCACGTAGTTGCTCCAGGAAGAAATGTATTATACTCACTTGGCATAACTGCGGGAAGACTGCATGGTGAGGGTGGTGTAGACAATGATGAAAAGCCATGCTTCGTCTTCGCATCTTGATCCATATTTGTGGAAAGGCGGTATGAAGCTAGGGTTGAAGACGTTGAAGAAACGCTAACAGTTGGAGATGTCCGCGATAATGCGAAAAGACTGTTGGTAATGGATATTGGTTTTGATGAAGAAGAACCGGACGGAGAGGTCGTTGTCGGAATAGCATAGCGATTGTAACGATGTATAGATGGTGGAGCCGTTGCAGAAGATACATACGGGGTGGATGTGCTTGAATGGATCGATGGGGTTAAAGAACTGTATTGAGTGGGTGGTGGTGTTGAAGGCGTCACAGAAAGTACATGCTGACTTGATGTGTGTGAAGAGACAGTAGGCGATGTAGGACTGTACGGATTGAGGACTGTCTGGGTTGGGAGCCTTTGAGTTGATTGGTAAGATGGGATAGTTGGCGTTACGGGATTGGACCCAGAAGGTGTTGCTGTTGGACGCGTTGCAGGAGAAACATATTGGGTGGATGTGGGTGAACGGATGGGTGACGTCGTAGGATTGTATCGTGTGGATGTTGAAGTTAAATTCTTTGCAGTAGAAGCATTCCGGGTGGATGTTTGTGCAGGAACAGTTGGTGTTGCAGTATTGTATCGAGTCGGTGTTGGTGATGGAGACGCTGCGGAAGGCACATCTCGGGTAAATGCAGGTGGAGAGGCGGTTGGCGATAGGATGCTTCTTTGAGAGAGTGATGATGATGGCTCCGCAGAAGTGACCCGCCCGGTGGTTGCAGTCACAAAGGCGGGTGGTGATGGAGAATCGTTTCGTGTAGGTGTTGATGCTTGCTCCGATGTGGCGGACACATAATGAGTGGATGTAGACGGCGACGATGGTAAAGTGCTGGATCGAGTGGATGTTAGTGTAACCGAGATATCAGAAGTGGTGTCTCGAACTGTAACGGAGGTTCCTGGAAAGATTTTCAGAAATTTATTACACGATATGTGGGCGCTATGGGTAGCAGAATATGAGCAAACTTCCCTGATTCTTATAGAAGGCACTGAAGACAGCATTACTGTTTAAATAAAAAAATAACTAATAAATCAATCGATGAGCTAAATAAAATCAAATAAAATACCGAAATAAGCAATTAAGAGTTGGCTAAGCTTAATAGGATAACATTATATTCTGATTGTTACAAACTTAAATAGTTCAAGTTGACTGCTCGACGAAAGTGAAGAAGCTCGTGGCAAGCTTATCAGCACCAAGCAAAAATCTAACCTGAATGAAGTGGAGCAGACGACGCCATAGGTGGATGGTCTAGTGGAGGGCATATGCACTGCGACGGAGCAGGGTTGCACTGAGGCAAGTCTGCTCCTTGGTCATAGTAGTAGCCCGATAGTTGCTCCTTAGGGCGGGTAACCGTGGGAGTGTGTGCAGCGAGAGGCTCAGGAGTGGTAGGTTTTGAAGACTGAATAGATGGAGAATGAAATGGTCCGTTGTTAGGCTGAGTGTGTCATCGTATAAGTTTATGCTGTAGGAAGTATCAAAGAGCAATTCACCTGAGTTTGGATACCTGAGAGTGAAATAAGTAGCCACAGTAGAAAGACGAGCATTGGATTCGATGACCCTTCTGCAAGAGTATAAATACCGGTAAGTTCACAATCGGTCTGAACGTTCACCATTCGCATTGAATTCGTGAATATATTACCATAATGTCCGAGTTGTTCTCATTTTGCAGCGCATTATAGGCTTAAAGTGACGAATTTTGGAATTTGGTCCGAAGCGATCGAAAAACTTCTTCAAAAAATGTTCGAAAAGGCTTCATTGGACCTAATGCCACATGATAAGGCATTCATCTGATGTCGAATTAAAAATTGCTGAGAGAAAGTTGTCTTCAAGGAATTGCGAAGTAGTTTGCTGAGGTTAGCAGTAAAATGTGAATCGCTTAAATTGGAATGCGATTGGTACTAGTGGGTAGAGGTGAGCTAAGTTAGAATGGCTCGCTTTTGACTCTTGTCGCGAAGCAGCTCTTCCATCCACACGCCTCTAACGCTAACGCTATCGGTGGAGTTATTGGAGCTAACTATGGATTGCGGGCTTCAATTACTGTCGAACGTAGTCACCAGAGTTGTTTTCCCTATTATAGTCACCTATGACGGCACTCTCTCAATTCCAGTTCAGCTAGACGGGTAGCCGATTTTACGAGTATACCAGCGACCGACGATGTGACTGACCGTATTGTTTCCCTACACTGATCAGACTTTTTAAAAGTTGTCGGCATCAGTAAATCAAAATTCTATCCCCAATGAAGTGCTATGTTGACTTTTTCGACCTCTAATATGTGGTTGCTTTTGTACATAAATAAGTGCTATACAATTCTTCCTAGTGCGCTCTGAATTGAGTGACCCCTGCCCATGTGTTTGTGGGGAAAATTTTCAATTGCACAATTCAAAAACTAGTATGCGCCTACTCAACTTCTGCATCTAACATGAGTTGCACGGTTGAAGATACTTAGGAATCCAGCGGCTCTAAGCAGTTCTCAAATCTCGGCATAGTTTTGAGATTAGTCACCATTGAGTGTTTAGGGCTGTACTTTTTGTGCCAAGTCACACTTCGTCATAGGAATTGGCCTTTCTTAGTGTCAAAGGAAAATAGTATCCAACTTCCTTCTTGCTCTAACCTCGGCATAGCTGTTGTTTGTGATAATTATGATCTTGCGCCACACGNACGACGATTGTGTCGAAACGTTTTGCCGTTTGACTAAATAAACTGTCCTGCCTAAAATCTCGCGCAACACAAGCAAATAAGAGTTATCTGCATTGCCTGCCGTCGTGTCACAGACGGCTGCGACTCATAGAACCCCAGAAACCACTTTTTAATTACGATATGTGCCTTTTTGCCTCTTAAGAAATGAATGTCAAGATAACTGGTGACATTCTTCAGCCTATGAACGGACATGGGGTTACCATTTCGAGGTTAAGCCTTACTTCTGCTAACTTATCGAATGTTCTGAGCTTTTACCTTTCTAATTCGTCTTGCCTAAAAAATCTGTATTGTATTTGTGTTATGATCCTTGTTCTTTGTGCTCACTGCCAATAGGTCCTCATGCTTTTTCGTATGCAACTGAAGGACGTTCTGGCACGATGTCCAGGCCCACATCAGTCTGCTCCATTCGCTTGACCGCGATAGTTCTTGAAAAATACGGAGACTAATTTTTTTGTTGTTTTTTTTTNTTTTTTTTTCAATACAGTTTCAATTTTTGACGCTTCAGTACGGTACGTATTACATTTGTTAAACATTTCTCCAGATCTGCCAGCGCAATTCTGCAATTTTCGGAATTTTCGAGGTCGCAAAGCAGTACCTTTTATAGAGTCTCATAAATCCGTATTTCACGAATGCGCTTAAAAAGCGTCCTCAATCGCTGACACCTCCTGTTTTCGGTAGATCTCGTTTAATTTTGGTTATAACTTCTCTCAGCCATGTCCCTTTTTTTCAGGTTACAGATGAAGTGCTTTGCGCTGACACTATTAGTCTAGGTGGTCGACCACGTAAATATTATGCCCCACAATGGCGCCTCATGACCCACTTCCAGTCGGGTAGCCTTGTCAGGAAAGTAATACTGGTACTGGTGATGATCAATTTTGCTAATCTACGGAGGCTCTTCCACCATGTCAATGTGGAACGCCTTCTGGGTGACTGTTTTTCGATCATGAGCTTTCCTTTCTCTCTTAGCTATGTTATCATCAACTGACAGTCTAAAAGATGAAGTAATTCTAAGCCCACTCTAGCACTTATTGGCGAAGCCGATCTTTTCCTACAACTCAAACTGATGAATCAAAACGGACCGAAATCACTTCCATCCCTTCAAGCCTTCTATAAATGAGCTAATGTCATGTAATCGATTATGTAAGTACCCGACGACATTTGTAAGCAGTGGCGGGGATCCCCAGCTACTTGACTGTCCTCTTCTTCTTCTAATGAGTTTAAGTTCTTAAACATAGTAAGAGCTCGTAAAAGCTCAGTTTTACTAGACAGTTGTGCATTCGGAACAATCTTTCCAGAAATATGTCCATCCTTGTCATTGTGTTAAGCCGGAATCATCTTCTAACCTTATTGGGGAGGGTGGGTATTGGTATCACCAGACACTCAGGATAGTTTATGCTATTTTAACAACCTTCCAGTTCCTTCTAAAAATGATGAGTTATATTCATTGAAGTACGTGAATATGCTCAGAACTCTGCGTTTCTCAACAGTATTGTTCGAGAAATTGGCTGGCCGTGTTGAACAGATTCTGTACGCGTTGCGGCGTCGGGTTGTATCCAACTGTAGTCCACCACACCAACTGAAAATACGATTTAAGAATTTCTGGTTTGCTACATCACCAAAGAAATCCTATCTCAGTTCCTAGAAAAGTCAGCGTTGATCGGTGTTGTTCTGATTTTATCGCTGTGTCAAGGTTTGCGTGTAGAGCATTTACTCCGGTCAACTATTATTTCGGGTGCCCAATTTTTCTTAACAACCTTTGATCTCTTCTATACGGTTGGATTTTGTTGCTTGAAATCGATGCTCATTCAGAAACACCAGATCATTCATCTCCGGAACAAGTCTCTCAGCATTCCTGTAGCGCGCAACTACGCGCGACTGGGTGCGGCNGTTTGATATTTCAACAAAGAAATTCCATGTCAGTTCCTCTAGAAAAGTCAGCGTTGATCGGTGTTGTTCTGATTTTATCGCTGTGTCATAAGGTTTGCCTGTAGAGCATTTACTCCGGTCAACGTTTGACACTTTTTGATCATAGGTGCCTGTCTATTGCTCAACTATTGTGTCGGGGTTCCCAATTTTTCCTCAACAATTTTGATCTCATCAATACGGTTGGATTTTACTGCTTAGAAACCAATGTTCATTCAGAAACACCAGATCATTCATCTCCGGAACCAGTCTCTCAGCATTCCTGTAGCGCGCAACTACGCGCGATTGGGTGCGGCGAGTGCGACGCGATCTTCGGGAAGAAGTAACCCCACCCCAGTTTTCCTATCGCTTGATCGTTGGGCAGGAGCTAATGTTGAGTGAAAGACAATAGAAACAAATCTAGAAGTTATCAGTTTTTCAACTGCGTGAGTAAATCTTACATTTGAGCTCAGATTGTTCACCGCAGCTGTCGAAAGTGGTTGCTGTTGGCAGTTGGATGAAGCCGATGCAGTCTAAACAGTTGCTTTGTTGTTAGTAAAGCTTCACATGCAATCGCTAATAGGCTGTGGTTAACTGCTTAAGTGAGCCACCAATCCAGTTAAGTTTCTTTTCTTAACCCCGAATCAGGCACAGTGAAGATGAAAATTAGGCCAATTTGAAGTCTGTGTTGATATCGCCTAAAGTGTTGAACAGATGCTTGGGGAGATGGCATCACTGACAAGTTTGTGGAAGGGACGGAGAGCTATCCACCTCTGGATGGACGAGGCAAACTGCACGGCGAAACTCGTGGTGATCTGAACGGCCCTGACGCCTATCATTGGGGCACAAATTTAAAGTAGGGTAGATAAGTAACATCAGCTAGCCCTACTTATCCAACCAACTTAAAACCTGCGCCCCAATGATAGGTGCTAGAGTCATTAATATCGTCACGAATTTCGCCGTCCGGTCTGTTGCCTCATCCAGAATCGCATAAATGTACCCATTTCCGCTTATGAAGAATCCTTTCTCATGTTCTGCAATTACAACTAGACCTTCCTGAAAATGACGCCATGTTCGGGTATGGGTACATTCACCCAGAACTCGATGGACGCGGCAAACCGCGCGGCGAAATTCGTGGTGATCAAATGGGCTTTGGCGCCTATCATTGGGGCACGGGTTCTGAGTAGATTGGATATGTAGTACCAGCTGATGCTACTTATCTATTCCACTTCAAATTTGTGCCCTAATGGTAGGCGTTAGAGTCGTTTTAATCACCATGAATTTCGCCGCGCGGTTTGCCGCGTCCATCCAGTTCTGGATGAATGTTCCGTCCCCCCGCCATGTTCCCCTGCACTTTAATTGATGCTGTTCCCAAAGCACTTACCGCTGCTTTCATTTTGTTGATAGCTGGTGTAAGTGTTGTCAGTGTTGATTGGTCGTAACTTAGGCCCTGACACGATCTCAGAGCAGTGGACATTTTCCTAAAAAGTTTATTTATGGAAAAGCAAAAAAGGAAAGGAAAGGTTTTGAAAATTTGATTTGAACTACAAAACAAGATTTATTTGGAGAACTGTGAGAGCTTATCGATTACTTCTTTCTATTCGGAAGATTCTGTGAAAAATCAGAGGTCCTGCACTTAAACCTCACTACTTGGGGGGAATTTTCTACAATCAGGAACGAATATGGCAGGCTATTTATATGATTACAACTTACCGTAGTAAATCTGTGCTGACTGAATCTTGCCCTCTAGAAGCCAATGATGAACATGTCGAGGCGCAAGTCGTTATAGCCGCCTGAAATTGTGCTGGGTTATTTCTGAAGTCTTCCACAAAAATCACTTCATTTCGAGTGAGGCTGTAATGGGTTGCCGTTGTAACGAAAAACTTAAGTTTCTATGTCTGTCGCTGAAAATGCTCCGATCGCGGAAATTCCGCTTGAAAATCCCTACTCTAAGCTTGAGCTCATCGCTTGAAAGCTTCTGTTCCTTTGGTATCCCAAAGTTGAAACAGAGACCCTTATGCGAAATTGCCGAGTGGGGGTTTTAGCACCCGGACTCCAAAGAGTGATTCAAGAAATAGGTGCTTCTGCTGTATTTAAAGTCACCTTCTACTGGAAATTCGAATCATCTGCTTCATGGCGTACAACTGCGGCTGGTGCGAGGAGTGCGGAATGCCGTTGGGGTACAAATACCAAAATACTATACCCTGATTCGCTAGGGGCGCAATGCGGTTCAGAATGACACATTTTACATGAATTCAACATACCTGCATGTCCGCATTTGAAGCTACATAACCTCCAGAGGCAGACGAAGTGTACTGAGAAGATTGACTTGTAGTCGGTGTTGCAGGGGAACTGTATCGTGTGGGCGGCGTTGAAGAAGGAAAGTACCCTGTCGGTGGGACTGAGGAAGGACCATAGGAACCTGGTGGGGCTGACGGAGAAGTTGCGGGTGGGCTGTATCGAGTAGGCGTTGAAGGGGGTGAGTATCGGGTAGGTGTATATGGAGGGATGGATGGCGTTGGAGGAGTATTTCGAGTTGGCGTTGAAGTAGTGCCAGGTGGTGTGTACCGAGTAATAGCTGGAGTTCCTGGAAATTTTTCGAAGACTATAACACATTAAAAGACATAATTCATATACATAATATCTATCAATTCTGAAAGCCAATGGCCTCACCTGGAGACGAATAAGATGGAGGGGTTGGCTGTGGTGGTGATGACGATGGAGGCTGACCCGATATGGGACAATTGCACTGCATTGGCTCAGGGTTACACTGCGGTGGTTGTGTTCCGTCGTAGTAGTAGTAATCCGATGGCGGCGACGGCGGCGTTGGAGGATTGCTCACAGATGGAGGATATTGGGTTGGAGGCGGTGGAGAGCCGCCAGGCCCCGGAGGAGGTGGTGGTGAAAGACCACCAGGCCCTGGATTGGGTCCTGGTCGAGGACCACCACCACCAGGCCCTGGAGGGGGTCCCGGTCGAGGACCACCACCACCTGGCCCTGGAGGGGGCGGCGGCGATGACTGATACTGTCCACCAGAGCCTGGAGGGGGCGGCGGCGATGGCTGGTATTGCCCAGACAGTCCAAGACCAGTCTAAATCTCACTAATAACTAAACACAGTAACGAAATGCATGAAGTGTCAGCTTACCTGGGCTACAGAAATGAGGAGCCCCAGGAGGAGGAGCATTGTACTCGGTGACTTTCATATGCCATGTGAGTGTTTAAATACAAAAAAAGTCATGCTCGACGTAAACATTTCCTAGTCGGATTAGGCACGTGAATAAAATCAAAACTAAAATGTGGTAGAGGATTTGGTCCTAAGTAGAGCTTTACTATTTACTATGTTCCATGAATATTTGAGTAGTCTGCTCTCAATACGATGGACAACACTGGTATTCTCGAGTTCAGATCAACTTTTATCAAAACTTCCTCAATATTTCCTACAGTTAGCGCAAGAAGAATACCAAAAAAAGCTTCTGAATGGTGGTAATTAAACAAGATTCTCATGCTACAGGTTGCTGGTTTAGCTAGGAGCAATCTTGGAGTTCGTACCTTTCCTGACCCATCCTGAAAACAGTCGTGAAGTTTTTGAAAGTATTTGAACAAGCAGTGTTTGTGCCCCATGTGAAGAGCCCGGATCCCTCGAGCAACTTAGACGCTCCAGTGAATTATTTCTTGATATAACGATAATTTACGATAAATTAATGATAATTTATTTTTTCGATGCATCAAAATAGAATGTGCCCATAAAAGAGTTTTCCAGGGAGATAACAGCTTTATTATATCAAAAAAGACTTTGAAAGTGGGACCAGGTCTTTCTGCCAGCGTGTATTCAGCTACGAGTTTTCTCTCATCCTCTGTCTGAATTTAACTAGCGCACTTGTTGGGTTATCCCTTCAGAACCCTGGTCTTAGTAGGTAATATGGCCTAGTGAGTTTCTGTGTTTGTGTGTTTCTTCTCCCATCAGTCTCCATTGTACCTGACGCCTGGCAGGCAAAGACCTTTTGCTTCAGTAAATGCCTAGACTCTCAATTCGATTAGGGATTTGGATTCACCAGGTCAAACTAATTCCTAATTTCAATTTTTAGCTGAATTCAGTCATTGGAACAAATATCGAGTATAATTCCGTCTAAATCTGGGTGGATAAATGGGATCGTAAGGGTAACCAGACTAGAATACCATATGAATAAGTAGTAAATAAACAACAATGACATCATAATATTTCCCGCATAAGCACTGGGACAAACTGGTATTATACAATTTTTTCGTTGATATGATGTCATAATGGAACAAAGCGCCCACGCTGAACAATCCCCTGTATCACTTGTGGTCCCGTCGATCATCGGTTTCTTCGAGCGGGAGCCAGAACCGACTCTATTCGTACCTGTAGCGATCAAAACGGTCCAATGGATTGTCCTTATCGGGGGAACAAAAGGCACTCCTCCTTTCGTGACCCAAGGGTCATCACGATTTTGCATAACGCATCCGGCCACCTGAGACCCGGATCTATTCCTTGGGGTTAGAACAGCGTCTGGAGGCCTCCGAGTAACTCCAACATTCCTGCCCGAACTCACTGAAAGGTGTGACTTCTTTCGTTTGGATCAGAACTTTACTAATTTATTTGCGTAACAGTTGGGTTACGCACGCCAATGCGTGCCCCATGCCATGTCCACTACCGCTTACCTACGACTTGTTAGAGAACCAATATAAACAATATCGGTCGACTTTCCACTTCATAATCGTTTCCCCACGGCGTTCACGTGACGTTCACACTCTTAGCTGATTTCATAGTCCGCAGCGGCGCTTGCCCATTGTTCCATTGTTTACAACTAAATCTTGGTCAATACCGCGGGACGAGTAGTCCCCCGGTCGCTTGCTCGCTCAATCGCGCCCACTCGCGGGCCGAATCGCGGACTATGAAAGCAGCCTGTGAGCTAGTTTTCGAAATCTGTGCGGTTGCGTCTACTACTTTATAGGCCTTCAACGTCTTCATTGCTGCTCCATCCTATACCATCATACCTTTCTTTTCTTACCTCATCGCAACTATTCACTTCCGTGTAAACAAACTATGGACACTTGACGACGCTGGGGAAGGGGGCATTAGTGCTGCGGATGTCACGAGAAGTTGGATCTTTGGCTTCCCTATCACTTCATCGCTTGAGACAAGGTCAGTGCCCACACCGTAGGTCGTCAGTAACGAAGTACTAATTTTGTGCTTGTAGAAATTGATCTTAAACCCCTCTGTGTATTATTTATTTTTCCGGCACTATTCTACTATTACACCCCCAAAAACTCAAAATTTTTAACTTGATGTCCCCGGAAAGGACAAGTACGGGTTCGAGTCCCGTCCGAGACTGAAGTTTTGCCCACAAATCGCCATTCTTGTGAGACTCTCAAACTTTTTATTTTCGATAAAACTTCGCCTATAGGGGTAATCCGATGCCCTGATAACGAACATGACCTTCATTTTTGGCGTTGGCGCCAACTGGCGATTACCCCTGTAGGCGAAGTTTTATCGAAAATTAAAATTTTGAGTTTTTGGGGGTGTAACAGTAGAATAGTTCTGGGGATGTAATAGTAGAATAGTACCATTTTTCCTTCTATTCATAACTTATTCGTTCCTCGAAAATGTATAGAACTTGGTCTAATATTGTGGAGCTGAAGATATGCCGAAAATGCTTAGAGCACAAATGTATACATCGCAGTCCATCCTCGCGCACAGGAACATAGTTGCATCGGTCGGGCGAACGTCCGTTGCGCGTGTCCGTCGAAAGTAGGTCACCCCGCCCACTTCGCGCGCGGCGCACTCCACTGAGGTCTCGAGATGACATTACAGTACCACCAAGTGTGAGTGGAGCGAACGATTTGCACTTGTCTATGTTATCTTCTCTTTGGCTGACTACCGTGGACAAAGCGCAAATCGTATGCCCCGCTTACAGCTGCGACGTCCGTCAAGTATCGCGGGCTGACCCGCCGCATGTGACGGCTGAGCGTGACCTAGTTTCGACGGACACGCGCAACGAAGCGCACCCCATCGGTCGCAGCCCAGGTAAAAGCAGTAGGTTCTGTGCGTCGATGCACTCGTTAAACCAGCTGCGTAAGCTGCAACACTGCAGGATCCCTCGCAGCCTGAACCGGGACTGTAGGGAGAGACAAGAGAGAGACTTAATCTTTCACGTGGTACTTTTAAAACTTGTCCCCTTCAATTCTCCTGTTCGAATGCGAGCTAAGAGATTTTTCCCGAATCTTTAGTATTTATATTACCCTTCAGTGCACTCGCAACTGAAATTGAAACAAAGTGCGCTTAACTGCTACGCATTGTCACATTGGGAATTGGCTGCTTTCATAGTCCACGAATTGGCCCGCGAGCGAGCGATCGAGCGATTGGGGCGGCGCTGACCCGCGGTATCGGCCAAGATTCAGTTGTAAACAAGGGGCAAGCGCCGCCCCAATCGCTCAATCGCTTGCGGGCCAAATCGTGGTTTATGAAAGCAGTCATTCGCTTCACTCTTGCTGAGTAACGTAGTGCAAGCGCGCCACTGTGCAACAACGCGGCCTCATTATTTCGGTGATAGAATGGCATCTTCCCCTACCTCTCCCACCTCCTCCCTCTTCGGGAATCAGGGCAAAGCGTCCGTAGCTGGCGTCACGATGTATTCGGCTAATGTCATCGTATCAGCTGAAAGCTGATCACCGCTTAGAGTGAGGTTAGACTTCATCTTCTTATCATAAAAATGGTCTGCTGCAACGGCATATTCTGACCCATATCCTGAAAGAAGCCAGTGTGATTTTCTAACTTGCATATTAGCAATCAGTCTTGTAGTAGTGAACTTGGTCGTGTGCTTACTTCCAATCAAAAAAGGAAAACATTAGATAACGAATCTTTTTTATTCAAGCGTGTTATCACAATTCGAAGAGCCAACAAATCAACAATACTGTTCAAGGAATTGGCTGGCGGTGTTGAACAGATTTTGTACTTGTTGTGATGTTGGATTGTATCCATTATTCGTCCACCAGACCATCTGAAATGAGAAACTTAATGGCCCAAGTACCACATGGCATTCATGACATGGCTGTAACTTCATTTTTGCTATCGCCTATTATGGCATTCTGATCAAACATGAGTAGAGGAATCCACAACACAGGGGCATTTATTGTTTGGGCGAATGAGCTTATCTGCCAAGACAACAAAGAGCGACAGGTAATAACGACTTGGTAAGTCTCAAAGACTAATTTGATTGAAATGGTCATATATACATCCCCTTACCGCTTCCCAATCTCCCTCTACTTCTAAATCCACGGAACGAGGGGCTCTGATGGTAGGGCCGTTTCTGCCCCGACACGAGTGCCCCAACTGGGCATACACAACAACATAGTTATCGTCTTCCAGTATATACTCCGTTCTAACAAAAACTCACGTTTCCGCCCAAATTGGTCATGGCAGCGGCTGAAATCGGTTGTTGCTTGCAGTAGTAAGATGCTGATAAACTCTGAAATGATACTGTGATTGTACATGAATGCGAGGCGACAGTGGTGCAGTGGAAGGTCATCCCATAGCATACTACGTGCCTTGAGAAGTAATCGTTTCCTTGGACCCCCTACTCCTAGTTTAAGTCGTCTGCAAAAATTTCAACTCAACCGTGTCGGCATTCTATTGTACGTTTCACCCAAGATCTATACGGTAGCTTCCGACCGGTTGAGTCTACCTTACCAGTATTTCCTCTGCATCGACATGGAACTGGACATACCAAGAACTCACCGTTGCTTTCATTTTGCTTATGGCCGGCGATAGCGTAGTCAGTGTTGTCCTATCATAACTGAGATACTGTAGAGACTGTAGAGCTTTGTAGATTTTCCTTAAAAAGTAGGTTCAAGAAGGTGAGTCACACTGAATTCCCGTCATAAAGGCAAATCTACACCACGTTCATGTTGTTATGAAATTTATGGAAACCGATAATAAACATAAATTATTTTGTAAAGCCAAATTTGCTTGGCACTTTTTACAGTACTACATAATTCACGTACCGTAGTAAATCTGTGCTCGCGTAATCTTTCCCTGAATAGGAAAGGGAAGAACAAACAGATGAGCATTGCGTGATGGCTGACTGGAATTGGAGCGAGTTAGTATCATGATGTATATACTGTTTAGAGTCCAGTTGGTAGCAACAGTGCCACAGGGCATGCAAGCAGGACTATTTATCTCCTCCTGC